TAACTGGTTTCAACAAACTGCAATGAAAAACTGGATGTACTTTTCCCAATAGTTGTGGGATCTTTAGCTCAACCATGGCAGAGTTAATAATCTTTACAATGGGGAAAAGACCAATAAATTTAGGCCCCAGCTTTTTACAAGGCAGTTTTAATCTTAAGTATTTGATTGAGACATAGATTCTCTCTCCTATATGAAATGGTTTCTGGGGGATCATCTCTTATCTGCTTGCTCCTTTTGAATCTTTGTGGCTTTCGCTAAGGCACAATGTATGCCCAAGCCCTCTGCAGCGTCTTTACTCACTCAGTTAATGTTTATGAGGAGGGGGCTTCTTGAAGGTATTCAGGCATAGGTATAAACCCCCTATCTGTAGATACTTTAAAAGGAGTAAATCCAGCACTGCTGTGCAGTATTGTTGTATGCCACTTCAGCAAAAGGCATGAGATCAGCCCAGTTAGTTTGTTGATAGTTAACATAGCATTTAAGTATTGCTCCACCACTGCATTAGCTCATTCAGCAGCTCCATTCGTACTTGGATGAAAAGCTGAGCTGAGCCCCTGGGTGGATTGGATCAGCTTCACGAACTCCCTCCAAAATTTGGCAGTGAACTGGACCCCTCGATCCAATATAATTCTTTTGGCGCTCCATGGAGCCAGTAGATGTTTTAAAAACAGCTTTGCTAGTCTTTAAGCAGAGGGAAGACCAGGGCAGGCTATAAAATGAATCCCCTGGAGACCAAAGAGCATTACCTTGAAGTGAAACTTCCCAGTGGGCAATTAAAGGCGGTTTTCCATTCATCCCCCTCCTTAATTCTTACTCGGTAGCAAGCTTCCCGCAGAACTAGTTTAAGTGAAGATCCTCCCCTTAGCTAGATTAGCTAACATGTCCTTCACCAAGGGGGTATATATTCTCCATGCTAACAGTGTTTAAGCCTTTGAAATCCATGCAGCTATGCTTGATTTTGATGGCTGGATGAAACCCATGGCCAGGTTTTTGTCAATGTATTCTCTCTGGGGTCATGGAGTACATTTTTGGCTTGGGGAATTTAACTCCTGGAAGGATCTTTATTGTATAGTCAGTAGCTCAGTGGGGGGGGGGGAGCACAGCACATTCCTTCTTACTGAACACATCGGCCAGATCCTGGTATTCTTTAGGAATAAGTTGGACCCTGGGCAACCACTCAGCTGCAATTTTCAAAGTTTCAGTCGGTTCATGTCCGGCTTCAGTGGGGGTGGCTTCCCTTTTCTTTGCCGTCATGAGTTGGAGGAAGGGGCCCTGTTCCTAATCTCATGGTTCTCACACCGTTTTTCCACCATATGGTAGGTTGCCTCTTTACAGTAAAGATCCCTGACAGCTAGAGCTTCCTCCCACATTGCTGGCCTGTCAGATATGTCTGCACGGACTTTTGATCGTGCCCTCGTCAGTGGACCTCCCTCCCCAGCCTGGACAGTCATCTGTGTTCCATCTGCAGGGGCTGCGCTGGGATTAGCATTGCTTTCCCTTTTTCTCTATCCTAGAATCTTCCCTGAATCTTTACTGTCCTCCCAAAGGAATCGGGTAGGAGGTCGGGGCTCAAGACCCCTAGGATCGCTCCTTGATAGCCCTCTATCTTAGAGCAGTAAAAAGGTTTTTGAGAGTTGGTTTAATGTCAGGGTTCTGACTAATGAAACAAAATAAAGCAGAACTCTGAGGTTTGAAGTTTCCTCAAAGTACATGTTTATTGGATACATAATATTGGCAGTCAAAAGTGAAACCAACTCTAAATTTTTCCCTAGAAATTCAATGTAACTAAATGTAAAATTCCCTTCCACTCTATTTGCTATAAATCATGCTACCTAATGAAAGTAATTGGCAGGCTCTGCAACTCATCTTTGCTCCTCCTTCCAGCACCTGTGGGAATGACCTTGATCCCCACGGGACCTGTGTGTTTAGTCTAGCATACTTTCGTTTTCTTCCCCCCTTCCCCCCAACTTATATGGCAACTTAGAACGACAAAGATGGTTTTTTTCAGAAGCTTACAGATTATCAATACATAATAATGTCATACCACCTCACATTAGAAGGCAACAAGCTCTCATTCAGCTATGGTCATGGATGCTGAACAAGGCCCTCCCTATTCACCAGGACAATGTATAGCCTATCACAAGATTGAAATCCCACAGGCCAGCTTGGAAAACAGCTATTCATTTAACATCTACTCATTTAACCCTGAGAATGCCTGGAGAAAGGAATGGTCCAAGGTACCTTCTTGTGGCTTGATCACTAGAGATCCCTCCACCAAGCCACATGGTTTTGACCTGCCTTGCTCTGTCTGATCGAAATTGAACAGACTTAGGTGTGATACTGGAAGAAGTGCTTCTGCCCTGTATTAGTGGGGATGGAAAGATTCCCCTTGTTGTGATTGTGGTCCTGATATGCAAGATTGACAAACATATTGTGCAAGATTGCTCATAACATGCATTCTCTGGTTCTGTGGGGAGAGGTTTTTCCATGGACCAGAGAGTCCATGGTTTTGTGAGCTTCCTGCATCCCATGGATGAGGTTTTGCTTGTTTGTGAGGACTGGTTGCTGGCATGCTGCAGCCCAGTACCGGTCCACAGATGGGGATGGGAACCTTTGCCCTAGAACAACTGCATGAAGCAACGCCTGAGGCAATCACCTGGATAGCTGAATTAGACATCCATGTCATGGTTCTGATAGAACAAAATAAATCAGAACGCCGAGGCTTGAAACTTCCTCAAAATAACATGTTTATTGGATATAAAACATCAATCAAAAGTGAAACCAAGTCTGAAATTCCCTTCAAGGAATTACACTAATACAAAGTAAAATTTCCCCTTGCTATGCAATAAACTACTCTACCCAATAGAGCAATTTGGCAGGCTTTCTAACAAAATGCCCAACCCTCTTCTTCCAAGTGATAGAATGACCTTGGTTCCCATGGGACATAATACTGTTTAGACTGACTAATAGAGATACTCTGTCCCCTCACCCTTTCATGTGGCAACCTAGAATGGCCAAAATGGCTGCAGCCAGGTTCATTGTAGAGTTGACAATCCATGTAAGAACCCACTTCAACTAACCACTCAAGAAAGCAGAACTCTTGAAACAGGTATTGTCTCAAAAGGATACTTTTATTAGGGATCAGTGACAGTAGGGAAGTCAAGGCGAGATCTGGGGAAAATCCCACGCAAATGGTATAGTTAAGCAAGCAATATTCTTCCTCCCACCACAATCATAATATCCATTAGAAATTTAGCCAATCCACAGGTGGGATATGTGCAGGTAACTGGCACAGTTGGCGTGCATCTCAAGGTCTTCTCCAGCTTTCATTTCTTTGTAACTGTCTCCCTGATGAGGGAGACGCATTCCTTTCTCAAGGATAGAGGCAGGAGAGGGAAAATAGAAAGTGAAGTTTATCCAAAGCTCCCCCTCCCCCCAGCAGAATGGCAGACCCCAAAAGTAGAATATATACACAAGGGAAAACACAGAGGTTTTGGGATCCTGACAATCCAGTTATGAGGCCATTGCCATACCACATATAAGTTTTATATATAATTATGTGGACTGTGTATATATGTTTACTTCTCTTCTGTCATTTTCTCATCATGTACTAAATAATAATAATTAGTTCTGAGATTTCCTTTCTACAAAGGATTAGTTAAGGGGAAAAGACAATCACTGTTATGGACTAGCATGCTGAAACAGAGCTATTTACACATATTTCATCCATTCAATAAGAAAATATTTCTGATTAAAATGATATAGAACTCTAATATTATACCATAAAACTAGAACAACCATAATTCATATAAAATTCAAGAGTTCTGATGCCATTCTCACCTTAAATGCTTTTGGAGAATATATGATGAAGCTTGACGCCATGCTTTGCAAAAACTCATAATATACTGTCCATCTTGCAGCCCATAGCAAATGGGCCAGATGGAAGAAATCCATTCTACAGCTCTTCTCTCCATCATTATCAGCTCTCACAGAAACTCAGAAGACCAATAGCACTGGTTGGTCTCATGTGGATATCATAGATTTTTTTCACTATGCGAACAATAACGGGCACATTTTGGTATGCCTTGATAGGTACCGTGTTTCCCTGAAAATAAGACCCACCCAGAAAATAAGCCCTAACCTGATTTTTTGGGGTGGGCCTAATATAAGCCCTATTTCAAAAATAAGCCCGGGGGGCTTGGTGTGGCCAGCACAAGCAGCAGCGAGCATGTGGGGGCTGGCAATGTCCAGTGGGGAGGCAGTTGATCCGGATGCATCATGCACTTTTTTGCCCAGAGGGAGACTGGAAGCTTTGTCAACTTGCAAATAGGAGCTTGGAAATGGAGCGAATCACTCGGTTTCCAAGCACTCCATTTGCAAGCAGAGGAAGCTTCCAGTCTCCCTCTGGGCAAAAGTGTTTGGATGCCTATGGGGCACTTGGAAACTGAGGGATTTGCTTGGTTTCGAAGCACCCCATAGGCACCCCAAACACTTTTCACCCAGACAGAGAAATAAGGGAGGCTAGAAGTTGTGTCTGCTTGCAAATGGGACACTTGGAAGTGAAGCAAATCGCTCTTTTTCCAAGTGTCCCATTTGCAAGCAGACGAAGCTTCCAGTGTCCCTCTGGGTGAAAAATGTTTGGATGCCTATGGGGTGCTTGGAAATCCCAACCAGCAGCTTTGGAAAACAATCCACGCACAGGTGAATCCAAAGGCCCTCACCCATCGGATTTGAGTGCTAGAGGCAGGAAGAGAGTGAGTAAGAAAAGCACGGTTTTATGTATTTGCCTTCTGTGATGACTCCCCATCTAATGCGCCAGCACAGCCAACCTCCAAAGCCGGCCCTGGAGCTCCCCCAGTCTGTCCAAGCCGAAGTAGCAAGAAAACTCCAGAACCATTTAAAGAGGGGAGAGAGGGGGTGCGGGACCTTGACGCCCCCCCTTCCATATAGACTGCACAGGGAAGGGCTTGTACATAAAAGACTCACTTTGCCTCTTTTACCTGGCCAAGAAATAACAGGGCAGATGTCTGAATGTCGGCACTGGTGATGCTTTCTTGCCCATCTTCCCTGTCAGCAGCACAGTCAGGAAAACAGTTTAAGATGCAGCGGCCACACCTGATAGGGCGGGGGTGCCTCTCGGTCCCTGATACGTCTTGGAGGACAGGGAGCGAAACCATCTCATTTCATCCTCACGTCCGCTCTCATCACACCAAAAAAAGACACCACCACCTTAGAAGATCCCCTCCACAGAGCATTTCCACACTTCTCGCCGCTCCGCTGACCTACCCAGCTCAGCCCAGCCCTCCTGCTGTCAGCTGTGAGAGGGCTGCAATGCAGAAAGCAAAACAGAGAAATGACAGAGACTGGAAGCTTCATCGGCTTGCAAATGGGGTGCTTGGAAATGGAGTCAACCGCTCAGTTTCCAAGTGCCCCATTTGCAAGCAGACAAAGCTTCCAGTCTCCTTCTGGCGAAAAGTGTTTGGGCCTCTATGGGGCACTTGGGGTAGCTCCATCCCCTCCACACCTGCCTCGCCTTGTGACAGTGGTACAGCGTGGCGGGCCACGCAGCCTCCTCCTTCTGTTCTCCATCTGACCTTGGAGCGCTTAGAGGAGAGAAATACTCAGGTGCGTTTGTTGTTTGTCGACTTCAGTTCAGTATTTAACACAATCATTCCCCAGCATCTAGTAGACAAACTGGGCCCTTTTTAGGCTTAAACACTCCTTTGTGCAACTGGATTTTTGATTTTCTTACTAACAGGTCCCAGTATGTGCAAGTTGGAACAAATATTTCTAACACCATTTTCTTGAGCACAGATTCTCCTCAGGGCTGCATCCTAAGTCTGCTGCTTTTCACCTTGTTGACTCATGACTGTTGTGCTAGGTTTGCCACCAACCATATTATGAGGTCTGTGGATGATGCAACAGTAGTGGGCTCTATTCAAGATGACAATGCAAGAAGATTGAGGGTTTGGTGAACTGGTGTAAGGAAAACAGCCTATTTTTAAACATTGGAAAAACCAAAGAGATCATTGTCAATTTCAGAAAAGGCAGGCACAGCTTCACTCCTCTGTGTATCAATGATTCACCTATGGAGATAGTTACCAGCATCAAATTCCTGGGTGCACAATTAACAAGTAGGCTGGCTTGGTTGCTCAACAGCAAGACATTGGTGAAGCGGGCACAACAGCGTCTACATTTTCTGCATGAGAAAAGCACATCTTCCTTCCCCTGTACTTACCACTTTCTACAGAGAGCATCTTGTCATACAGCATCAGTCTGGTTTGGAAGCATCACTGCTTCAGACAGGAAGGCAGTGCAGAGAGTGGTGAAGATGGCTGAAAAGATTATTGGCAGTCCCCTCCCTTCCATCCAGGACATAGCATATAAGCAGTTGCTTGAGCAGGGTCTGCAAGATTGTCTGGGACATTACATATAAAGAACAGTTGCTGGAACTGGGTATGTCTAGTTTAATGAAGAGAAGGATGAGGAGTGACATGATAGCAGTGATATCTCGGGCTGCCACATAGAAGAGGGAATTAAGCTATTATTCAAAGCACCTGAAGGCAAGACAAGAAGCAACAGATGGAAACTAATCAGAGAAGCAATCTAGAACTAAGGAGAAATTTCCTGACAGCTAGAACAATTAATCTGTGGAACATCCTACCTCCAGAAGCTGTGAATGCTTCAACATTCCAACATGGAAGTTTTTAAGAAGAGACTGGACAGCCACTTGTCTGAAATGGTATAGGGTTTCCTGCCTGAATAGGGGGTTGGACTAGATGACTAGATGACCTCCAAGATCTCTTCCAACTTTATTATTGTTATTATTACATCCTCTTCATGACTTGTTTTCTTTGTTATCTTCTGGGGGGAGGCTTCATGGTATCCAAAGCAGAACATCCAGATTTAGTCAGTTTTGTTCCGTACAGTATTAACCTTGTGAACTCTAAAGCTTCCTCCTTCCGTTACATATTCAAGATGGACAGTGATTAATATTTATATGTTACTTATATGTAACATATATACATATGTTGTATATAGTATGTTTAAATGTGTGTTATGGGACTTCCGGTTCCGAATCGCAGCGCTCGCAACTGTGCGAGGAGACTGCTCTCCTCGCCAGCTGATTCTCTGCTGCCGGTAGACTCTTAATCAGGTCGAAAAGCCATCTTGGAGGGGCGGCTACTGGTGAGGAAGTCCTCGTTGTCATTGGGAGAGTGGCAGCTTCTTCCAAGGACTGAGATTGCTCCTTTGGGCCAACGGTGGAAAGAACGGCCAGTAAAATGGCCGTTCATCTTGCCGCTGTAACCAGAAGTCAGAAGAACATCTAAGCACAGGAACCACCATGGCTGAGCCAGGTGAGACTTTTTTTCCTCCCTCTCTTGGGTTTCTTTTTTCTTTTGTGCCTGTAAAAAGCACTTTTGAAATGATTTCCCTACTCTAAGAAAGCGGCATTTGTGAGTGTGGGAAAAAGAAGGTTAAATGGACTGAATTAATTTAAAGTGATTTTTTTCCTATTTTTATTTTTTTTCCTTCACTTTGGGGTCTTGGAAAATTGTGTGAATATTGAATTTGCTATTGGACTTGAATTCCTCTTTTTTCTGTGTTTCCTGATCTTGTTTATGAGATTCCTGGTCTCTGGGAGAAGATTTTACATTGTACTGAGGACACCTTGTGGAAAATGTTAAAATTGCAACTTTCTCTTTTGAGGATTAGACTGACCTTGACTTTCAGGTTACCATAAAAGGGAAAATATAAAGAAAATTAACAGCTGTACTGGTGGGGGTGGACACTGATTAAATGTTCCCTGAACACAGCCTCTATTAAAGATACAGATTGTTTCTAATTATCTTTGAAATGGAGCAACCCTTGGTTCAACTTGACTATAAACTTATACTGGAAAAATGTTATGAAGCTACTGATGAAATACATTTGCAAATAAAAGAATTTACGATAGAAATAAAAAACAGAAATTCTGCTTTGAACTTTCAAACTGATTCCCAGACTTTGTCTGAGCACTCTATGGACCAAGAAAGAATAGAAGCGGGATTAACCAAAGGTAAAGAAGATTCCATTTTACTTCATACGCATGCTGATGAGATCTCCGAGGAATTAAAAAGGACTATAATTAAACCACTTACAACCCTAAAACTAACAGAAATGGACAGACAAGCCCAATGAACTGAGAACTATGGTAGCTTGGATAAACAACTATTAGCTACAAAGTTGGACATAATTGAGCCGGCCATTCAACAGTTTCAAACGTGGAGATTTGACTTTTCCAAACAACAAGGGATTATTTACAAAGGAGCTAGGTCTCTAAAACAGAAAAGAAGACGTCTCTGTTTGGTTCAAAGGATACTACAAGACATAAAAAATGACTTGTTTATTGATATAGTGGCGTTGTTATGGAAACCTGTTTGACATAAAAGGAAAGCTAGAATAAGATTTAAGAATCTGATTTAAGGTTTTATGTAATGAGTTTAAAAGGCTTACTAGATATGGATTGATTTATGGCTTAAGACAGTTAAATAAGATGTTAGATTGAATAAAAATTAATTAAAGGTCTGAACTTAGTAATAAGGTGTTTGTCTATGTATTAATCTGTTTTGGATATAGTAACTTTGAGGAGGTTAAAGAAATGTGATTTGGATATTGAGGGATTGATTGTTAGATTATAAAGTATAATAGAAATAGAAAGGTATTTTCTTTCTTTCTTTTATTCTGTTTTGTTTTTGTTTTTTCTTCTTTGTTCTTTTTCTTAATCTGATATCAACTAATATATTTTTCTTTATGTATATTAGATCTGATAGTCACTTTGTAATGGAAGAGGAATAGTGAAAAAGAAGAAATGATATTAATAAACGTTTATTGAATATGTTAAGGAAAAAGGTAAAGGGGAGACTCCCAAAGTGTTAACTATGTACTTAGATCAGAAATATGGAATATAGTAATTGAAATAGTAAGCTTCATACAGGATCTGGATTTGTGGATTTATTTAGATGAAAGGCTATTGAAGATTGTTATGACTGATATAGTTGTATTGAAATATATCAATTTGAATATAATATCTTATTAGAGGGAAAAGAGAGGGGTTTTTTAATGATTTAATTTGAACTTTATGAGTATAACTTTGTTGTATGGACAATTGATTGCCCTGCCACCGCGTTGTTTCTTAAGCACTTGTCTGTAAAATGAAAAAACCAATAAAACTTGTTTAAAAAAAATGTGTGTTATGTATGTGTACATAACACACATTTTGTGTGTACATTCCTGGAGGAATGTTGTCCATGGGGTCGCGATGGGTCAGACACGACTTCGCAATTAACAACAACAACAACAACAACAACAATGTATGTGTACACTTTGAGAGCAAACAACTAAATTTCATTTTTAATGTGTGCCATTGTGCCTACAGTAAAAAAATGACAATAAAGGTTATCTATCTATCTATGAACGGCTGCAAATGGCTGCAGAAGTGGACCGGCAGCCATACAGGCTACTGCCCTGATAGGGCAATTAGTGCCACCGCCACAAGGCAAGGCTGGTATCAGGAAAAAAAAATAAGACATCCCCTGAAAATAAGACCTACTGCCTCTTTTGGAGGTAAGAAAAATATAAGACCGTGTATTATTTTTCGGGAAAAAGAGTATGGCCACTTATAAGACTCTAATTTATGATTAACAAAAATAGGTATTTTTTTTCACCCATAAGCAAGGTTTGCAACCACCTACTTCTATTTATTAAATTATTTTTTAAGAATGCTTTTGTGACTAATGAGGGGCCACAAGCCAGTTTTCTAAATAAAAATGTTATGATCTTCAGTTACTAAATAGTTAAGTAATAAAGGTGGGATAAAAATCTAATAAATAAATAGCATGCACACCTTGGGATTACAACAGCAACCAGAACTGCCTGCATTGCTGTTGCTAAGAAATACAGTCATGTGACACTGTACTTTACAACCACATCACTTACCAATGGTAATCCCTGTCCTAATTGCTATAACCTGAAACCTACTGTATATATATTTTTATTAAGTGTGTTCACTTAGCTCAGCTCATATCACTGAAAAGCTGATACAGAACTGACATGGTTTCCGCAGAGTCATATAATATAAAAGAATAAAATTAAATAATAATTTGGTTATGGAACTAACAAAAAAAAAATCCACTCACATTAAATCCATTGTAGCATCCTGAAACTTGAGATTACTTTAAAATCGTGTACTCCAGATCTAAAGTTAAAACTAAACATTAACTGATAAATTCATATTTTGAAAAGTGAAAACAGTATGTTTTACATAAGATTTTAAACATACCTGAATTGGAGTCAAACTTTTTTTCAGATCTAAAACAAAACAAAATGAAGACATGACATACATGTAACTATAAAAAGCTTTTTATCTCAAAAAAATCCCCAATAATAAATCTCAAGCAACAGCCATGGAATCTTTGTTAATATACTTGACCCAAATGTATCCTTACTTTCATTTTAGAAATATTATTAACAAATATTTTCATTTACTAGATTGATAAAAGCAACAAGAAACACCCAAGTGAAAAATCCAATGTCAGAATTACAAACAGCACATTTTAAATATTTCTGTTTTAGAACTGTACTATTATACTTTGATAAGGATTCCCCTAAGAATACCACTGGATAGTTATTTTATTTGGTTTCTTTAATATAACCCATTCCGAAAAAAAGTTTTATTTCCTATCAGATAGTTGGATATCAGCTTGTGATTTTTTTTTTACTGAAAAATAAAAATAAACTTTCTGCTACATGTTGTCTCATACAGTATTTTAAGCATTACACTTATTACCAAAAAGCTCTATACTTAATAATGAAGAAGAGGGAAAAAGAGAGAAAACTAGCCTTTCTGACAATATCATGTTTCAGATATAGATGAATAACTGTCCTATATTCAAATACCTTTGAAGCTGTCAGATCAGCTATGGGAAAATGTAAGTTGGGTAATTACTTTCAAGATGCTCCTGAAGTGCTGTGAAGCAGAACTAACCCAGTGACAAGGCCTATTTGAACAAGCTGTAAGAAGCAATGTCTAGATCTAATTCTCAAACCAATTAGTGAGCATGCTCAGCCAGATTTATATCACAAATTAAAAACCATTGGGATATGTCTGTATATGGGATGGAAGAGAAGCAAAAAATTATTATTTTATAGTTAGAGCAGACATGTCAAACACAAGGCCCGGGGGCCAGATGTGGACCGCAAAGTGGTTTCATGTGGCCTGTGAAGCCATCCTGAAAACAATGAGGGAATGGCGCCCGCTGCCTTGGCCCTGGCCCAGGCTGGCTGGGAGCCAATGTACAATTTTGTGGTGGCCATCTATGCCAAAACGCATTCAGTCTTAGCTCCACAAGGCCGTCTAGAAACAGTGAGGAACCAGCCCCTGCTGCGTCAGCCCCGCTCCCTGGGTGCATCCTGGGGAAGTGTCATCCTTTGTGAGGAATGAAGAAATGCACCATGGCTTGGGGCTTGCCCCGGTCCCACTCCCTTCTGCCAGAGACCCTCAGATCTGTCCCACTCCTGCCCAGGCCCCCACAGACACCCTTGACGATGTAGAGCTGGCCATGCCCACCCAGTAGGCCACACCCACTCCATCCACGCCCACCCAGTAGGCCGCACCCACCCAGGCCACACACCCTGCCCCCCAAGGGCAACCGCAATGCTGATGCGGCTCTCAATGAAATTGAGTTTGACACCCCTGAATTAGAGCTTCTAAGCAAAATATAAGAGTGTGCATTAAAATGTTACTTTAGTATGAGTATTTTCAAAGGAAAAGCCCCTATACACACACACACACACACACACACACACACACACACACACACACATAATATAAATGATTATGTAGAAAAACAAAATAATAAAAAGCTAAAATTCTATAAAGCATAATCATTTCAATCTAACCAGAACATTATTTTTCCATGACATTTCCAGAGAAATCTCAGTATGTTCCACAATTCACAAATAGCAAACATTCAACTGGTAACACATTTTAGTAATCCCAAATATCAGGAACATAATACAAAATCAATATTACCATGTTGTAGAAATGTAATACACACATTAGCATGGAAGTGGTGCATTTTAAATACAAAAATGTATTAAAGCAAACATGAAAAATGACAAGCAGATTAAAAAAGGCATTCAGAATCTGGTCCTAGATAGAGAACTGATTAACTATTGTTACTTATTTGGTTTTCAAACAGCTAATGACAAAAATGCAGTATACTAGTTAATGGCAAAGGAACAAAAATAAATTATCTTTTAACTCATCTATTGTAAATGGATATGAATATTATTTTATGAATAATGCACAAAATGATGTCCTTAATGGCAGATTTCAATTATTAAGTATTTGTTAAGATCTCTATGATCCCTTTCCTCCAAGGATACAATGCAAGCTATCTCCCTTAATTTTGTCATCACAATTGCAACTCTCAATTGTGAGATAAATTAGGCTATAAGAGAATATCTGCCCAAGGCTATAACATGAGAGGCTCCCTCTCATTCTTTCCCATCTTCCTATATCAAACTGATTATAATAAACATACAACATAATATACTATGCTCGAAGCCTGCAATGTATTGTATATTGCATCCTCTCATCCTACTTTGTATTCCTACTTTATATTCTGTATTTGGCAAAAATAATAATTTTATATTCCTGGTAATTTTATGTCCAGACTGTTTAGGGTGCAGTAATAGACAATGATCCTCACTACATGTTTTAGCACAACATGCATACAGGAAATAACCATTATGTTGCCCAAACAGAATAACATATTGCTACCCACAGTCTTAGTACGTGGAAATCTGGTGAGTCCAGGAGTTCAATTATAGAGGTTGAATAAATTTGGGGCCAAAATACACTTGTCCTACCATACTCTCAATGCACACTATTCGAGAACCTGAGTGTTACACCTCATCTTGAATTAAATGCCTGAAGACAGCTGTTGGGTTAAGAAAAGTTGCTTGTCAATTTACATATGCTGAAAGATTTCTCCATAACAATGTCAGAGAGATAAAGTTGAATGATCCTTTAAAGTTGAGGAAGGCCAATTTTGAGTATGCATTTTTCAATCAATTGATGTAAAGCAAAAACATTGTTCACAATTGAGTATACAATTTGGATCTCAACCAGTTCATCATGGATCAAGCCATCAGATTTGATATAGTTAGTTTTAGTTGTAATTACAATTAAATTCTGTATTCTGTATACTCAACTCTGTAATTAAAGGGTAGGTTACTATTGGTAAAAAATTTCAAGGGACAGATCAAGTTATTTGAGGGAGTCCCTATCTCTGATAATTTCTGTCCTTGATGAAAGCACCCAGAATTCTAAGCCAATATTGCTTAAAAGGACAAATTATATCTACGCACTTCTGTCTAGTAATTACAGTCAAATAGTAATGTTCTCCCAAACTAGTCAGACGTCACAAACTGCACATTTATTTTGTTCAATATACTTACTTGAATAAAGGACTTCCACAAACAACACATTTGTATATTCCATGGGCTTTATTATATGTATATTCTCCTTCAAAGGCACTAGAGCACAAGACAGAAATAACTATTTAGTATGCATACTTACAAACTCATAACTCTATTTTCTTTTGAGCAAGGCAAAATGAAAGAGATAAGAAATAGTCAACTACTGAGAGTTCTTGGCTTTCAACTGCTATTGGCACTGAATTTCCAGTCATAAATTGTTATGGTATTTAAACTGAGGCACTCACAACCCTGGACCCAATTTTATGACATTTTTGCAGCGATCGTTAAGTGAAATCATCATGGTCATTAAGGGAACCTGTCATCTTAAGTGCAAAGCCATTCTTCCAAATGGACAATTTTTGTAGACCCCAGCAGAAAACATCTCATGGCTGCAAGAGATTCAACTATAAAGATGAGATGGTTCACAAGCTCTGTAATACAGTCACAGGCCTGTGAGAAGTGGGTGTGGCATTACATTTTATGATGGCCAGAAGTGCCTTATAAGCCATGAAGCATCTATTCCAGGCCTGCCATAATTTTGAATGGTCAATAAGTGACCAGTCATAAGTTGGGGACTATCTATAAAGAAATGCATTTTAGTTTTTGTAGATTCTGGGCAATTTAACCATAACTCTGCAAGTTTAATCTGCATTTACAGGCAGAAGAAATAGTATAGACACTGATCTCAAATAATTTTCCTTTTTTGGGGGGGGGGGGGAAATGCTAACACAGGTCTAGTGCTACTATCCCCTAGACCAGTGGTCCTCAACCCCTGGTCCATGGACTGGTACTGGGCCACAGCATGCCAGCAATCAGGCCACACAAACAAACAAAGCCCCATCAGAAAAACCTCTCTTCACAGAACCAGTCCCTGGTGCCCAAAAGGTTGGGGACCTCTGCCCTAGACTGCTATAATTTATCTTGGATCCCCCCCCCTTAGACTTTGGGGGATTGAAATTTCTGCTTTCCTGGCTCTAATTCTTCCACCTGTAAAGGAAAAAAAACTCACAGAAGACAGACAAAATGAAATCACCTCTTTTTAAAAGCCCATCTGAAAGGGGAATCTTCCCATTCCCAATTGGCTCTTTAGAGCAGGGGTAGTCAGCCTTTTTATACCTACCGCCCACTTTTGTATCTCTGTTAGTAGTAAAATTTTCTAACCACTCACCGGTTCCACAGTAATGGTGATTTATAAAGTAGGGAAGTAACTTTACTTTATAAAATTTATAAAGCAGAGTTATAGCAAGTTAAAGCATATAATAATAATTACTTACCAAATACTTTATGTCGGATTTTCGCTAAGTTTGGCAGAATAAATCTTTATAAAACAACTTACTGTAGTTAAATCTATCTTTTTATTTATACTTCGCGTACATAGAAGCATGAAGTCTGATAAAATTACATTTAATTAATTAAATTATTAATGAGATCCCTGAGGCTGATGCTGCAAAACTAAATACTAGATATCTGGCTCAATTTTTGTAAGGAACAAACGAAGGTCTCCTCTTTCGGAAATATTCAGGCGGTTTCTTTCTTTGGTCATAATATGATTAACAGCACTAAAGCCTGATTCCACAAGATATGAGGTAGGGAAAGGTATCAATAAACTGAATATCATTTTCCACATATTTGGATATAGGACAGGCATTTTTTTAGGTTTTCATATCCACCACTATCGAATTTATGTTTACTTTCTTCATCATATCTAATTTCTAACAGTTCTTCTTGGCAAGTTGTATCAGCCTCTTCAATATTTGCGGTAAAAGGATTTTTCACCCAGTCATACACCTTCAATTTCAAAATATCTTCAAATCGTTTTCCAATGTCCAATTTAAGTTCGTTGAGGTGGCTACTAAATCTGTCAATATCCTCTGGAGTTACATCATCTTTTATAGATGATAATTCAGGAAACTGATGAAATTCTCTCTTCAATAGATTATAACGAAGTAGTTCAAGTTTGTCAATAAATAATGACACAATACTTTGGCAACCTATAAGAGTTTTACTAGCTCCTTGAAGCTGCAAATTGACATCATGAAATCTCTTGAAAATATCTGCCAAATAAAAGGCATCATTCTTTACTGTTTTTAACAGTTGACACAGATTGGTCTCATTATTACTTTCAAAAAATTGTATGACACTATCATATAATGCTACAAAACGAGCCAAAGATGTACCCTTTGAAAGCCACTGAACTTCTGTGTGCAAAAGTAACATAATAAAATCTTCATTATTGTCCTGGCAAAGCTGTCGAAACATTCTATCATTTTTTGCATTGGATTTGATCTTGTTTATGGATCGAATTATTATAGTTAATGATGAATGGAGACTTGTACTTAGATGTTTTCCTACAAGATGTTGTTTGGGCACCACACAATGAATACATAAAACATTTGGCATTTCTTCCTTCAAATAAGCAACAAATCCACGATAGCAACCTACCATTGATGGTGCTCCATCAGTAGCGCATGCAACAAAGTAATATTATTTTTTGTAAAGTATGATTTCATAGTATTAAATATAGATAATCCTCTTGTATCTGTAATGAGATTTATTGCGAATAGCATTTCTTCTCATAATGTATTGTTTTCATCAAAATAACATACCTATGCCATCAATAAAGCATTATTATCTGCAATGGTAGACGTGTCCAATTGCATGGAAAATGAAGAGTTTTGGAGAATATTTATCAAGGTTTTTTTTCAATATTAACTGCCATTTCTTCAATTCGTCACTTTACTGTGCTATCGCTTAGGGGCAATGTTTTTAAAATTTCAGGTATATCCTGATGCATTACTGTTGAGATAAATTCTTCTATAGAGGGTATTATTACAGTTTCTCCAATACTACAGCTTTTACCACTTTTTGCAATTAATTGTGAAATGCGATAAGCGGCAATTAATCCATCTTCGTTCGCTGCATGTTGTTTCTTAAATGATGCAATGATTGTTGAACGATTTTGAATTTTTTTATATATTTCCTGAAAATATTCAATGGGCTTGTCCTTATCATTTGGATGCTTTGTAGAAAGATGTTCTCGCAATCGACTTGGCTTCATTGCCTCATTGGATAATGTTTTATGACACAATAAACACATTGGATGTTGTTTATTTACAACAGATTCTATAAAACCCATCTTTGGATACTCTGGCAAATAACCACGAGCGTATTTCTTTTTTTGAGACATGGACTCATAATATTTTGTTTGAAGCTGTAGGCACGTGCTCACTCTCACAAATCTAACTGCATACTGACCAGTGCGACCGCAAACAAAAGAGCCTGCACTATGTATCGTCGTCTGCGCATGTCTCTCACGCATCGTGAATTGGGTTTGGGGGGCGCCGACTACCAGCTCTGCTTGTCAGTTACAGTTGGGTGGTGTGGGGGGAGATGCGCTAGCTATTCTGAGATGAGGCTCTTTTGTTTGCGGTCACACTATAGCGCCATTTAGTTTCACTTACATAACGTGAACTAAACTTATGCGCGGGCGATACAAATAGTATATTTTCAGAAATTTAAATTGTCAAGGGGAATTTTATGAAAACCTAATGAAAATGTTTTTAAATAATGCTATGAAATTTTTTTAAAAAAAGTCAATTAAATTTAAAAAAAGGAAAGTGCTTCAGTACTGGACAAAACCCCTACTGCCCACCATGAAAGCTGGAACGCCCACTAGTGGGCGGTAGGGACGAGGTTGACTACCACTGCCTTAGAGCTTGATTTTTCTGAAGTTCTGGTTGTCTCTACCTACCGTACTTTCCGGCGTATAAGACGACTTTCGAAAGCATTGAAATCGGCGCCGAAGTCGGGGGTCGTCTTATATGCCGGGTCGCCTTATACGCTGGAAAATACGGTAATACCTAGATTTATAGATTAGATTTGACAGCTGAGATACAAATTTTCCTTTACTGTTTCATGTCTGAATCTTTGAGGATGAGATTTCTTTTAATTTACTATAAGCTTGTGTTTTAAAGTATAAACATATATGGCTCTTGGATGAAAAAGCTGTTCTTCAACACATTTTCAATTAAGTTTTAAAATTTCCACTGTAAATTTAGATGATAAAAATTTGTTTTTTAAAATCCTAATAACATTTTAAAAACATACTTTATTTACTTTATGTTAAACCAAAATAAAAATATTTTATTTTGATCATTAACCAGACTTACATTACATAAAAATAAAAGATATGGAATTAAATGGAATTTTAAAAATTGATCGTGGCTAGCATAGATGAAACTTTCTTAGTTCAGGTAAATCAATTTACAGAAAAGACTATTATACATCATAATTATAGTTAGAAACAGAAAGAGAAGAATTAACCATTTAAACTTTGATTCTTTGGTATTTGCCTAATACCTTATCAAATAACACAGTAGTGTAAGATCCAAGTGGAAGACAGTATATAATACTACAAAATGAATCAATTTTAATATTGGATGGTGGTCTAAGCTGAATTCCAAACTAGGTGAAAGTCAGAAATGTTTTTATTTGAAAAACAGCATTACTGCTTTAAGAAAATTTTCTAAGTTACCCATTTAAAAGGCTAAGAGGTCATTGTAATAAAAATCAGCTGTATTCCTCTAAAAAATCTAAGTGCTCTTTTTATGAGGTGCTTTTTTATACAGTTATTTTTAAATGACTGAATATCTTACTGTTTGTATGTAGTACATCATTGTGCTAATACTGTACACAACAGAAAATGACTTGGCTGAAGCCTCCTGTACTAGAAGGGCGCTGTCTTACCTGAATGCCTTTTCTCAGCACGGAGATGGAAAATCCACCAATGGGTTTTGACTGTATTCCTGCCCAATCAGATCAAGTCAGCCAAAGTTGCCACTCCCATCCTGGACCATAGAAATCCCAGTCTTGACTCAAGCGTAGCCATTGACTGACAGCAAGACGTTGTGACTCTCAAAACTAAACCTAGGCCTAGATGACCTACAAGGGTGGGAGTGGATTCTCCATCTCCATGCTGAGAAAAGGCGTTCAGGTAAGACAACGCCCCTTCTCCACCACTGGAGATAGATAATCCATCAATGGGACATACCAAAGCC